GAAATCAATCGAAACAAAAATGAAAAGACTTCCGACTGCAGTAGCTTCAGCCCGAGATCCCGATTATAAGAAAATGCTGGAGGATATTGATGCATTTGAAAAAAAAACAAAACATATAACGGATGTGGGGCCAAAATGTTTTGTCTGCGAAAAAGGTGTACCGGTGGGAAGAATTCGCTTTTTCTCAAACCAAAGGCAATTTTATAAACATATGTACTATAATCATCGAAATTATTTTGAGTAAGTATCAAAATATTGTTAATTATTTTTATTCTTCATAATAAATAATTTTTTAATCAACTATAGTTACATCCGAAAAAGCACAAGGCATGGTGCAAAACCAGATTCGTCTCCAATGATTATCGATGAGCCATCAACAAGTGCAATTGAGATGGATGAAGAGCCATCAACGAATGAACATTTGTTGGAAATTGATGATGAAGATCGTGAAACTTATCAGATAAGCGAACTTCATGAATATCAATATTATTAACAAATGGATCGGTATCAAGCAGAGAAACAAAAACGAAAACAGGAAGAAGAAGAAGAAGAAGAAATCGCTATAGCTTGCCAATCCAAAAATCAATACCGTTCAGAAATTCTGTGACGCAAAAATTTGGTGCTTTTTTAACAGAAAAATTTTTGATGAAATTTAATTTTGAAAAAATTTCAAACAGAAAAATTCTTTTTCAAAAAAAAACAAAACAATCAAAATAAATAAATATTATTAATTTTTTCGCCATTGAAATGAATTCATGATTGTGTGTTGGGAAGGGGAAGAGATAAAAATTTGGTTTGGGGAACAAATGATGATGATCAAAATTGAAAAAATAATTTAAATTCGTTTTTTTTTGTTTACGAAGAAAAAAAAACATTCAAATGAATTCATTCAATCTCTGGCCATAAGAATATCTTCATTTTGACTAGTCGAATCGAATGAATTCCATTTTTTAATATTATCAATATTAATTTTTTCACGTAATTCATCATTATATTCAGCTTTACTTGATTTGATACCATAGAAAAAATAAACAGAAAATCCTGATTTGGATGAATGAATGATAAAACAAATTAAATCTTAATTAACGTTATAAATGAATGAATTAGCAATTTAATTACCAATAGCCATCCAAATAATAAAACGCATCCATGTAAGCCAATTAAGATTAACGATTAATGCAACATTAAAAAATATTGACAAAACCGGTATGAATGGTACAAACGGTACTTTATAACGAAGATTTTCAATATTTTGTTTGTGCATATTAATAATGGATATTAATATGATTAAGAATGTTGTTATTAAACTCAATATGAATGACAGAAATTTTTCATCGATATCCTATTGTTTATAATGAAAATAAAAGCAAAAAAAACCATGGGAAAAAGGGATGAAATGAAGTGAAATATCGGGATTAATTTGTCAACAATGTTTTTGAAAACAAACTAACCTTTTGAAATAATTTGCATGTCAAACAAAATAATACTGATAATATGACAATGGATAGAACACATATAGGAATCAGTGAATCATGAAAATAATTATTTAAACTAGCCAAAACGATATTTTTATTAAATAATCTTTTGAATGTATCTTGTAATGGATTACGTATATTGCCATCCTCATCATCATTATCATCAAGTAATCGTTCATGTTCGGAAATTTTTTTCGTTTCCGATTGTTGTTGTTGTTGTTGTTGTTGAGTGGCATCAGAAGCACCAACAACATTATCATCTTCGATATTTAATTGTACAATATTTGGTGGACGTCGATAACGGACAACAATAACCGATGCACTAACCACTAAATAAGCAATCAATGTCCCAATTGACATCATTTCAACTAATGTTGTTATATCCATAAATATAGCCATTATAACACCAAAACCAGTAAAGAAAAACATTGCCATTAATGGTATTTGTGATTTTGAATTTACATAACCCATCCATGGAAATAATAAACCATCATCAGCCATAGCATAAACAATTCTTGTCAATGAATAAATTGTACCAATCAATACTGTTGCCATACCACAACATGCACCAATAATAACGGCAAATTTAGCCCAATTAGCACCATGTGCACCAAGTGCATCAGGTAAACCAGATTCTTCGGATATTTGATCAAATGGAAACATTAATGTTAATACGGATGATACACCAACATATGAAATCGAAGCAACAATCATTGCAATAAATGTTGCTATCGGTATTGATCTTTGTGGATCACGTGCTTCTTCACCACTTGTAGCAATCGAATCAAAACCAATATAAGCATAAAAACATGATGCACTACCAGCAAATACACCTTTCCAACCGAATGGCATAAAACCACCATGATCATTTTGCCAATTAGAAAAACCTGAATAATATCCACCAACAATAATTATTATTATTATAACAATCATATTGATTATTGAAAATGTATTATTAATATATGTTGTTGTTTTCATTCCGGTTGTTAAAAATATTGTAAAACCAATTGCAATCAAACCAGACATTATATCCATATGTTGTGTTAATGTTTCGCCTAATATCGGTGCGATCCATGAATTTGTATAATTACGTATTTCACCACCAATTATTGAATCTAAATATGCAGATGATGCACGACTTACAGCTGCAATTCCAATAATATTTTCAAGAATCTTAATTTTGAAAAAAAAATTTATTAATAATGTTTATGGAAATCATCATTATCATCAACAACATACCATATTCCAGCCAACTATAAATGCCCAAATTTCTCCCAATGCAATGTATGCATCTATCAACATTGATTAAATTCAAAAGTTAACGAAAGCAATATTTAAAATAAAATAAAAAAAAACTTACATGAATAAGCTGAACCACATTTTGGAAAACGTGATGAAAATTCTGCATAACATAATGCACAAAGAAATGCAACAAAACCGGCTATAATATATGATAATACAATAGCAGGTCCGGCTACATTTTTAGCTATGGATGATGTTAATACATATGCACCGGAACCAACCATATGACCAATACCCAATAATATTATATCCAATGTTGTTAAACATCGTTGTAATTGTGTATTATCCAATTCATTATTTTCATTTTGATAAATTGTTTTTGTACGTTGCATTTGTTGCCATATTATATTCATTTTGTTTGTTATTTGTGTTAACGACATTGTTTGTTTGGTTGGTTAAAGATATTCACACAAAAAAAAGTTAATGGAAATCTTCCTCGTTCAATTCTGTTGTTGATCAATATTCCACTATTATATTTCCATTAACACACACGCACCACACACACTCATTATTCTGTGAATGGATTCTGATTATCTCTGTTTTTTTTCTGGTTAAATGAAAAATTTCATCTTCAGTGTGTGTTTGTGATTTGTAATTGAAATTGACGATGAAATCTCAAAGAAGATGATGATGATTGTCTATTTCAATTGTCTTTTGATATTCCAAATGTTCAGAATAAATTAAATGGAGAGAAAAAAAACTGAATTGAATACTGAATTATTCGTCGCTGGTTATGGATGATATTTTGATTATGAAAAATTATAATTGAAAAATTCGTATGGAACAACGAAAAAAAAATAATTTTCGGTTTTTTCGCTGTTGAAAAAACCGAAAATCTGCACATTCGAATAGGATGATGATTTTCGGAAATTGAGTGTGTGGTGTGCGGTGTGGTGATGATCAATATCGCTTCTTTTAATGATTAAATTGAATAACAGAATAATGGTTTTTGCTTGTTTTGTTTGTTGTTTTGATAAGTATCAATTAGCAATTTGTCGTCATCATTATCATCATAATTTGTGTTGTTTTTTCTTTCTCTCACTTTTCTTCTCTTGTTTTTTGTATTCTTTTGTAAACGTCATCAAAAAAAACGAAACAAGATTTTGTATTTTGTTCAATGCAAATTTTGTTTTGACGTTTTGTGTTTGTTTTTGTTTTTTTGGGTTTCAAAAGCAGAATATAAACAGAATATAGAGTGTGTGTGTGTGTAAGAGAAGAAAGAAATTTTTTCAGGAAACAAGATTCATCATACACACCGGATATATATAGTTAGAGTATTTTGGTGGCTAGCAATATGCTATATATGCTTTTATCGGTTTGTGTGTGTTTCTGGTAGAATCCGATGTAAAGGTATACTATGCAAGAGAGAGAGAGAGAGAGAGAGAAGAATTTGTTGCTTTATGCTCTATCTATATATAGGTAATATCCATAGGAAATCATTCTAGATTTTTTGAATCTTCCTTTGGTATATTCTGATGTATATTGATCCATCCATGGATCCAATGATTGTTGTGAATTTATAATTTTTGTTTTTTCCTTTGATATAATCATCATAGACTTGCGCTCACTTAACCCATATATATTCTCTGTGTGTGTGTGTGTGTGTGTGTTGTTGGAACGATAATTCTTTGATGATGATGACGATGACGACAACAACCTTCAGATTCCAAGAATAGAATTTTGTTTTTGTTGTTGTTGTTGTTGTTTTGGTTGGTCCCTTCAACAACAACAAAACAAAAAACAACAAACTTTTTTTTTATTATTTGAAGAAAATTATGTGTAAAAGTGTGTTGGAGTTGAGCATTTTTCAGCAACGAAAAAAATGATTCTCTAAAGAATAATAATAAAAAAAAAACAGAATTTTTCATTGTTGTTCAAATCATAGTTGTCATAACTATACAAAAAGAAGAAAAAGAATCTGGAGAATCCTGTTACCCGACAACCACTATCACTATCCTGATCATTCATAGTGGGCAAATTATTCTGAAAGATGAAAGAATTGGAACAGAATACTGTTCATAATGTTCCTCATCATTTTTTGGGAAAGGAGGGTGGATAATATATTTGAACATAACGAATGGGCAAGCGTCATTTCAAGTTTTTATGCTTCCACATTCAATAAAATGAAAGGAAAGGAAAGATTCCAAAATGCCAACTATTTTTCTTCTTGTCTCTCCCAACACTCCTAATATTCTGTATATTCTGACCGAATTGGAATCTTGAAACGAACGGAATCTCATAGCCAAAGCAGCAGTGAATAGCAACAGCAAAAAAATGAAATGAAATGAAAAGCAAATTGATTCACAATTGACATTTTCTATATTAACATTCTTTATAACTAACAGTGGAAGATTTACATTGAAAGAATTATTATTGCTTATTGCTGATGATGATGATGATGATGATGATGAACATCAAAAATCGATAATGCAATTGGTGTTTCCAGATAATAATATGTAGTAGTTATATTCTATATGCAAAGCTCATCATCATTACTTTATTGAATTGCTAAATTTTTTGATTGTTCCATTCAATTCATTCAATTCATATTCAATTCATTCCAAGAACCAGATAAAATTCAATTTCAATATTTCAATTCATCATTCAACTTATTAATTTTTTGCTGTGTGTGTGGGTTGTATTTGTGTGTTTTTGTTTTAGAAAATTTTTTGCTTCCCATTTTTTAATCCAATAATTTGATTCATTTGAAATTCAATAAATTTGGTGAAAAACAAAATTCTTGCAAATGATGTTTTACCATTAGAAAATTTGCCCGTTTTTTGTTGTTTTTTACATCATGTTTAACATCATGTTTTTCTGTTTGTAAATCATGTTTCTTTTTTTTTGCTAACACCGATATGATCAAATTGTCCATTGAAATCTAAAAAAATTCATGTTTTTTTCTTCGTGTTTTTTTTCTTCATTGAAAAAATTTCATCCAAAAAGAAAAAAAAATCCATTCCAAATTGCCATTTCGATTATGATGGATCTTTTCAATAACAACAACAACAACGACTACAGAATCGGCTTACATATATTTCATCATCAATGATTTATTAGATGTTTCTTTTTATTATCGTCATCATCCACATCATTATTATTTCATCACCATCATCATAAGAATTGATGATGTCACCAGCATCAAATAATTGATTTTCTTCACTGTTTTTTTTTGTTCCAAAACAAAACTTATTCAAGATTTTTGAACATTTTTTTTTTGCAAAAAAACAACAAAAAACAACAAAAGTTAATCCTCCAACGATATCAATATCAATAAAATAAAAATTGCCATTTTTCCAAGAATCGATTGTGTGATATTTTCAACACTATCGATTACTATTTCGATAGTATTCGAAAACAAACAAATTAATCCAATTATCATGAGAGAATTGTTAATAAATCTAATTAATCAAATATTAATAAAATTTAATCCGGCTAAATGTATGTTATTAATTAGTAAATTATTACGTACAAGAGAACCGGATCAAATTGAACAACATATAACAACAACAACAATACCAACAACAAAACTTCAAGTAAGTTATTAAGTATCTCAATCAGTCTTCATTACCACCGGTTATTTTCATTGATAACCGGTAATTATTATCATTATTTTTCTCATAATGAAACAAATTTTCTTTTTCTTTTCTTTTCGGTTTTCGTTGATTTTCATTGAATTTTGTCATTATTTTGGTTTTTTGCTTTTGCTTTTTTATCGATTTTTTCAAATTGTATTTTTGTTGTTTTGTCGGTAGCAAGCAAATTGCAAATTGCAAACTTTATTTTTTTCTCGTAAATTTATTGAAATTTTTTTTCTCTCTTTTCTTTTTTCATTTTTCCCTCATTCGAAATATAGAAATGTCTGAAAACACGAGATCTAGTATCGCTTGGTGTTGGCAGCTGTGTAGGCACCGGAATGTATTTAGGTGTTTATATTTTTTTTGAACAAAATGAAAAACAACAAAATTAATATTTTTCCAAGCAAAAATTTAATTTAATTTTTCTTTTTCTTTTTGAATTTTCAAATTTGCATATTTATTCCTGATTGAATCCCGAACGATTGATTCGTTTCGTCAAAATCGATTTCATATATAGTGGCCGGAATGGTTGCCAAAAATTTAGCCGGACCTGCTGTGATCATTTCATTTTTAATCGCTGGTATTGCAAGTCTTTTATCGGGTAAATAATAAATGCTCAGTAAATATTTGATGAAAGCAAACAAACAATTAGAGAAAAAACGATTTGAATTTGAATTTTTCCCCTTTCGGTACTCCAGAATTTTCAAAATTCAAAATTGAATTTCTGGGAAAAAAAATTTTTTCCCCATTTTCTTTTTGAACATTTTCGGAATTGATTTTTTCTCTTCTTTTTCATTTCCATCACATTGAATCTTTTGTATGTGCTCGATCATCATCATCATCATTGGATAAGGCGTTTGCTATGCCGAATTTGGTGTTCGAGTGCCAAATACTTCAGGTAATCAATTAATTAATTAATGAATTTTCTAGTCAATTGAAAGCACACATTGATTTTTCACTTCATTTCATTTTCTTCTTTTCTACTTTTCTTTTTCTTTTCCAAAAAATTTAAAGGCTCAGCCTATATGTATAGCTATGTGACTGTAGGTGAATTTATTGCCTTTGTCATCGGATGGAATATGTAATATATAGTGTTTAATTCATCATTTTAAACAGAATATTTTAACCAGTTCATTTTTTTTTCTCTCTCTCTCTCTTCATTCATCTCAACAAAACAACACAGGATTCTTGAATATTTAATTGGTTCAGCAGCCGGTGCAGCTGCAATTAGCGCCTGTATTGATTCAATGTATAATGGTCATATGTCATTATGGATACGTTCAAAATTTGGTACATTTATTGGCCATACACCGGATCTATTTGCAGCATTCATAACAATTTTAATGACATTAATATTGGCTACCGGTGTTAAAAAATCCCTTATGTTTACAAATATTTTAAATGCTATTAATTTTAGTATTTGGTTTTTTATTATTATTTCATCATTATTTTATCTGGATTTTTCAAATTGGTCTACCCATGAAACAATATCTTCAACAACAACAACAATAACGCCAATAACAACAACAACAACAACAATTAATAATGATGATAATAATAATAGCCTTCATCATGATGATAATGATCATAATCATCATGATCAAAATCATTATCATTATCAACGTGGTTTTGCACCATTTGGTTGGTCCGGTATATTAAATGGTGCGGCCACTTGTTTTTATGCATTTATTGGTTTCGATATAATTGCAACGACAGGTGAAGAAGCAGAAAATCCACAACGTTCAATACCAACGGCTATTGTAACCAGTATGATTATTGCATTAATTGCATATATTTCATCAGGTAAATAAATGTTTGTTTGTTGTGGAAGTTTGTTTGCTTTGTTTGGTGTTTTTTTTCTCTCGAAAACCTGTCAAATTGAATGATCATCATTTGCTTGTTTTTCATTCAATATTTTGCCAAAATAATTATTGAATTTGATCGATTATCAAATTTTTTGTTTCTCCAATTCAGGTTTAATCGTAACATTAGTCATACCATATTGGCAAATCGATACAAATTCACCAATAATCGAAATGTTTGCCGATATTGGTGCAAATCGTTGTAAATTTTTTGCCGCTATTGGTGCTTTGGCTGGCCTTTTTGTTTCAATGTTTGGTTCAATGGTAATTTTTTTTCGTTTGATTTCATTTCATTTCATTTTTTGTTGATGAGAAATAAGCAGAAGAAAACAAAAATCATAATCAAATTTTATCTTTTTGAAATTTCTTCTTTTTCTTCTCTCTATCAAAAAACAAATTACCTGAAATTACATTTCGGATTCAATCATTCATTGTGTTCTTTTCTTTCTTCTTTTTTTTTCGATAATCAAATTACAATATATATAGTTTCCAATGCCAAGAGTTGTTTATGCAATGGCTAAAGATGGTCTATTATATAATACATTTGCACAAATATCACCATTTACTAATACACCGATAAAATCAACATTAATATTTGGTTTATTTACATCATTTATAGCATTGATTATGTCATTGGAAGTATTAGTTGAAATGATGTCAATTGGAACATTAATGGCCTATACATTGGTATGTTGTGTTTTTTTGTTTGAAAATTTAGAGACAAAACAAAACAAAACAAAAATTTTTTTTGTTTTCTGCCCAATAGTTTTCATCTTTGTTTTAGGTTAACCCAGACAGAATGAAAAAAGAAACATTCATTAAGTTTATTTTATTTAATTTGATTAATTAATTTCATACCTTTTTGTTTTCATTCAATTTTTTCAATTAATGAGTACTTTTTCCCTGTGTGTGTGTGTGTGTTCTATGCCCGTATATATTCTTTGTTCGATTCTTTTTTTTTCCTCGGAAATTTTTTTTTCTCGTTACAGTTCCGTTTCCCGTAAATATTCTCTCTCTTTTGTTTGTTTTGTTTTTTGTTTTTTTAATCATCAAATTAATGATTGATTAATTGATTGATTTTTTTTCAGGTGTCAGCATGTGTATTATTATTACGTTATCAGCCAACAAAAACAAATTTGATTGAATTATTACCACAATCAATACGATCAGCATGTATGACACCGAATAAAGAGATACCACCTTCATTTGTTCAACAACAACAACAACAACAATATTATCCAACACCACCTTCATTTGTTTGTCCATCAACAACAACAAAACAAACAACAACAATAACAACAAATCCAATGATGATGATGAATCAAATGTCAAGACAACAATGTTATTCGAAAAAAATTTATGAATCATCCGAAAGTGGTGGTGATGAATATGATCCAAATTGGTCAAGACAAGATAGTAAAGATGATGAATTTCTTGTACCAGGTACGGCTGGTTTACATTATGGTTCTGTTCCATATCAACATGGTGGTAGTAGTAGCCGTCGGTATGTTTTTTTTTCTCTTATCAGATTCTTTTGCCGAAAATTTTTAAATAACCAAAATTTTTCATATTCAAATTTTTTTTTACAAAAACCAAAACAAACCTTTAAATCTTGAATGATGATATAATCATCAAGTTATGGTATACTTGATAAATATGAAAAATTATTAATGTATCTATTTCCATATGGTTGGAAAGTAAATACACCTGCAACCGAAGATAGTGGAATGTATGTTGCACGTTTAGTTGGCATATATTTAATACTTGTATTCATATTCGATATATTACTTGCCTGGCATATAAATTCATTAAATTGGAATAATCGTCTATTATTATTATTATTTATATTTATATTCATTTCAATTATTATTATTATACTAGCCATATCTCGACAGCCACAAATCAGGTTTGTAAATTTATTTATTTATTTTTCTTTCTTGTTTTATAAATTTTATAACGATTTACAAAAAATTTACAGTTTAAACTTTTTTAGTTCTATTATTTCCTCGATTAACTAAATAGATTCGGGGGTTTTTTCCTTTTCATCACGTTTCAATGATATTTATTTATTTATCGTTTTTTTTATCGTTTCTGTTGTTGTTAATGTTTAGGTGTAATTTAAAATTCAAAGCACCTGGTATTCCATTCGTGCCTGCCATTGCAATTATTATTAACATTTATCTAATATTAAGACTTTCAATATTAACATTGGTACGATTTACTGTTTGGATGACTATTGGTATGTTTGTTTTTATTCTGTTTTGTTTATTTTAGCAAAGAAAACGTGTTAGTAATTGAAAAACATTAATCGCGATTCTCTCTTTTTTGTATTTCCCAAAAAAAAGGTTTATTCATTTATTTTGGTTATGGTATTAATCATAGCCTTTTGGAACAACAACAACAACAACAAACCACAACTGATCAACAAACAAATATTGGTGATGATAATGACAATGGACAACAAATTTATAATGGTCTTAATCAAAATAATTTACAACAACAACAACAACAACAGACAACATTGGAATTAAAAATACCATCAAATCGTTTACAACAAACAATGGTTAATAAAAATAATCCATTTTTAAATCCATCAATAGAATTATCATCATTTCAACGAAACGATTCGATTGATAAAAAACCACCTATACCACCAAGACCAAAAAATCGACAACAAACAATTGATGATGATAATGTAAATGAAAATCAAAAACAAAAACAACAAACACAATTTCAATATCAACAACAATCATCAACACAATGGGAAACATTTGATTGATGGGGACAACATTGTATCGATAATTAACATTGATTTTTCTCAAAAAAGATCTGATCTTTTCAGATTCATTTTCAAACAAACAAGATGAACAAACTTTTTTTTGGTGCTTTTTTTCATTAATTTTCTTCAATTTCGTTTTTCAGTTTTTTTCAGTGATTCTTTAATACCATAGCTTAACACGAATATCGATAGTGATTGAATTTTAGAATGTTTGAAAAGCAAAAAACATGTTTTTTTCAATTTCACAAAATTCAATCTTATTGAATCCGAATTTTGTTGTTGCTGTTGTCATCATTAGTGTAATTTTTTTTCATTTTGAAAAATCTTTTTTTTTGTTGAGTTTCTCTCTCTCTCTCTCTCTCTCTTGCTTACACATCGTAAAATGAATCTCCAGTTTGCCATTTTTTGTTGTTGTTGTTGTTGCTTTCTTTTTACTATCATTCATTTTTACTATCGTTCATTCACAATGGTCATCTTGTCATTGTCACCCGTATAACGGAATTTTATTATCATTTTTTTTCTGGTTGTTGTTGGTCTCAATTCAATTTCTTCAACCTTCAAATTCTTCATCATATATTTTTCTTCATTAAGAATTTACACATAAAAAAATAATAATAATAATAACAGAATCACCAAACAACATCACCATTCATTTTATTCATCCATGCGAATATAAAGTTTTTTTTTTGGTTGGAAGAAAAAAAAATCAACGAAAATGTACCATGTCATTATCATTATTTTCAAAATGTTTTTTTTCTCTTCTTCAAAACTTCGATTTTGGAAAAACAAGAAAATTTCTTCGAAATGAACTTCTGTGTTCCAAAGAGAAAGATTCTTTTTTTTCTACTTCCCCCTCCGTAAAAAATAGAATATTCCACTACGATTCTTCTTCTCATTTCCAATTTGGTTTGTAATTAGATTTGATCGTTTTTTTTAAAAAAAGGGATAAACTTGTTTATTTCAAAATGTTTTATTTTTTTCTCAAAATGAATAGGATTTGTTTAGGTACAAATTTCTTTTTTTCCAGTTTGTTAAGCCCAAACTATTGCTTTTATTTATCAGGTTTTTTTCGGTTGTTGTCGTTGTTGTTTGTTTTCCTTCTGGAATTATCATTTTTTCCTTGTGATATTAGTGTGTGCTTCAAGTCTGCTGACTTTTTTTTCCAATTTTTTTCAATCATAAAAAAAATAAACCACACAATCCTGAAGGATTCTTGTGAAAGGAGAAGAAAATTCAATAATTTGGCAATAATAAAACTTTCAATTGTTTTTTGGAAAATTAAAAATACCCTTTCCGCGACTATATAGTGTTAATGTTGTTCAATTTTTTTTTCTTCATTGAATGAAAACCAAAACAAAACAAATGAGTGAAAAACATGATTTTGCGTCCATATATTTTTTCTTGATCTTATTTTCATTATTTATGAAACAAAATTGTGAACAACAAACAAAAAACATTGTCTATTTCCTATTGTTTTTCCCTTGTTTCATTTTCTGTTTTTTCCCCTGAAAATTTCGTCCAGAATTTTTGTTTCAAAAAACCAATTTACCCGAATTTTATTGTAAATATTTATCATGATTTGTGTGTGTGTTTTCTCTCAATTTCCTTTCCGTGTGAATCCATTTTTTTCTATAAAATCACAATTTTTTTTCATTATCAATTGTGTGGATGTGATTTTCCAATTTTGTTTTCGGTTGTTTTGTTTGTAAAATTTTGTGATTATTATATATTCACACCATCTGTATTTTGTGTTTTTTTCTTTCTCTATGTGTGTTTTTTCTGATTCTATTTATCCCAAAAAAATGTAACAAATTATTATTAACAAAATTTTAAATTTTTATTATTAAAAATAAATTTTTTGGAAAAAAATTGATTACAAATTACAAAATAGTTTTACAAAGTCCACTATGTATGTGCACTTTAATTTTTTTTTCCTTTTCTTTTCTTCATCTTATTGATGATTATCATGATGATGTTTTTTAATTAGTTTCACCTTATAGTATCAATGTCTAAAAAGTCCATTTGAAATGTTCATTTTCAGGTTTAGCTGACTTTGTACTGGCCAAAAAGAAACATTCCTTTATTTATCCATAAAATCATCATGTTTTTTGTGTCCAATCATTCAATGATTTCATCATCAACTTTATTTTGAAATGAATAATAAAACTTTTGATATTCATTTCAAAATAACAAAAATTTTAAAAAAGATTTAACCCGAATAAGTTTTTTAAAACGGTTGGTTGAGTTTACGAATTGCTATAGTTTTTTGTTTTCGCTCATGAAATATCTCAAAAAAATTTTCCGAAAATATGAAATTCATTCAAAAAATGAAAATTTTTTTCTGCTTTTTACATTTGAAATGTTATGTCAATTCGAATCAACATCATTCTAATGGAAATATGTTTTTTTTTTCGCCAAATATCCTTTTCTCGATTTTGTGTTTATATATAGATAGCCGTTTGAATTTACATTGATGTATATAGAGATAGATGGATGGATGGATGGATGAACGAAGAAAACTGTAAAATTCTTTCACATAATAATAAATGAAATGATCACAATCTTTAATACGTTAAACGGTTGTTTTCTTTTCATTCATCTTGTTTCTTGTTTTTCCACTAACCATCCGAATAAAAAAAATACGGAACTTAATGGGTGATGGGCACTTATGATGATAAGGATGATGATGATTATTATTCTGGAATGTCGCCCTTTTTTTTCTAGAAAAAACATCGTAAAGTAGGCTGATGAAATTTTTTCTTTCTTTCCATTCTTGAAGAGTGCTTTTTTTTGTTTGTTTGTTGATGACCAGTTTGGATTGTCCAGTTTGTTTGTTTGCTATTCGTTCATCGACTGACATTAAATTAACTCCGATAGACAGAGAGAGAGGCAAACCCTTTTTATTGTCGTCGTTTTCTGGATGACGATGTTGACAATGTCATTATCATTCGAAAAAAAAACAAAAAACACTTAAGATCAACATATACTTGAGAAACAAGAAAGAAAAATGATAATTATGTTTCGAAAATTGAATTCTTTGAATAATAATAATTTTTTTGGTTTGCTTTCGAACCAAAGAAAAGAAAGAAAAAACCAATTACTTATTTACACATAGTATTTGTGTATGATGATGATTCGAATTGGATAATTACTCATCAATCCATGGATGATTATCACATCATCATCATCGTTGTTTTTGTTTCTGACATAAATGTTTTATGGTTAAAAGTTTTGTTTTTTTTGTTTGTTTGTTTGGAGAGAAAAAAAAAATCTAAAATGATTAATATAAGTAGATTAATAAGAAGGATCTTATCAAAACAAAAAACAAAAAAACAATTCTGGTTTTAAGCAACAAACAAACAAGCAAAAAAAACAGCCAAACATTCTCGTGATAATTATAATAAATGAATGAAAGATAATTAGTCCATTGTTTTTTATTTACTTCTTCTTCTTTGTGTGTTAACTGAATTTCTTCTTTTACTAATTCAGAGATGCTTCGTTTTGTTTTCTTGGTTTGTTGGTAACAAGGTATCATTTTTTGTTTGTTGTTCTCATCCATGAATCCACCGCTACCGTATCTGTGTTATCCATTAAATGGATTCCAGACAAAACGAAATTCAATGCCATCATTTTCAATGATTTTTGATTTTCTTGTATCAAAAATTCATGGGTGTGCATCACGCTCAAGTCAACAACAAAAAAAAACTTTGGTAAAGACCATGGCCATGGGCCACATTCTTTCATCGAAAAAAAAACATACCACACACCGCGTGTAAAACAAACAAAAATTGAATAAAACTGCAACAAGTGAAACAAAAAATCATTCATTAAAATTCCTTCAAAATGTTGCTGTTGTTGGAATTGTTACTTTTGATCATCATCATCAATTTTTTTGCTTTAACATTCCAAACGGGAGACGATCTTCTTAGTGAATAAAAATGATCGAAACCAAAGAGTCTGTGTGGCTGGTTCGTTCATGACCCTCGAAAATAATTTTTTTTGTTGAAAATGACCACGAACCACCACCATAAACATTCATTCCTCTCTCTCTCTCTCCCTTAACAACATGATTATGATGAGAGAGAACAAGTTTTCTTCACTATATGGTGAATTCCATGGATGGTCAAAATCCACTTCGACATGTGTCTGTGTGTGTGTGGCTAAATTGACTGATGATGATGATGATGAACCGAAGTAGTACGAACATTTTGTTGATCTTGATCATCATCATCATAAACAAACAAACAAATTTTTCGTTCACATACCAGAAGCAATCTGACGCCAGTTTTAAAGTCATCCAAAATCAAAATGAGCCTGTTTTTCTTCTGATTTTTGTTGTCTGTTTATTTGTTTAATTTTGTTGTTGTTGAATTAATGATGTTTAGAAAAGAATTTCCATCGAAAACACACTAAATTTTCAATTTTCGATCATTATGGTTTATCATTATTTCAATGGTAAACAATAATTACTACGAAATACCATCATCATCATCATTATCATTATTAACTGCTACAACTAACAACAACATCGACAACAATAACAACATCGATGAACGGAAGTTTATGTTAACAGAATTCTATTAATAGAGTAATAGTGTGTGTTTATGTTTAAAGTTGAAAACAATGAATAATATAATTCATTCGTTTGATTTAAATTCTTCTTCATTATCATCGTCATCATCGAATGCAACAACAACCACAACCACAACAAATAATTATCAAGCATTACTTAGTCATTTTTGTTCATGGCAACGATCAAGAAAAATGATGGCGAAAATGTTTTCAACATCATCAACATCGACAACAGCAAAAAATTCCTCCTCATCAACATCATTTGTTGGACATCAAATTAATCCGATTAATAATCTTTGTTATCAATCTGTTTCGATTAATAATAATAATAATAATGATCATAATCAACAAAAATTTCCACATCAAACATTCGTAAATCGTAAATATATGATTGGTCGTAATAATAATAAATCAAATCCAATAGTTAGTTTTCTTAATAAAGGTGATGGTAAAATTGCAGTTAATTTTAAAACAAAATCACCATCATCACCATTACCATCATCATTAGAAAAGCCGCTAGTCATTTTACAAAATGATAATCAACTTTATTCAATGGATATTTTAATGGCTTCTTCTTCTTCTGATCATCATCGAACATCCGAATCAAATTGTTATGCAACATTAGAACCACCAACTGTTGATTATAATAATTATCAACAACAACAACAAAATGATTATAATTATATTGATCCAAATGATCCATTTTCAAATGAATCATGGTATTATGGTACAATTGAACGTGAACATGCTATTCATTTGATTGAAAATTGTCCAACCGGTTCATTTATTGTTAGAAAATCAATTACACAGGATCATTGTTATGCATTAACTATCCGTGTACCATATGATTATAATTATACTGGTATTGCACATTATCTTATTCAATCTATAATCGATAATAATAATAATGATAATAATAATAACAATAACAATGATGATGATGATTGTAAAAAAGAAAAAATGATAAAATTTAAAATTAAAGGATTTCAAAAAGAATTTCCAACAATTTCATCATTAATCATACATCATAGTATAATGAAAGAACAATTACCATGTACATTACGTTTGATTCAAACAAAATTATCATCATCATCGCCTTTATCATCATTATCATCAACAACATCACCAATAACGAATAATACATTATATCGAAAAAAATATTATCAATCACAGCCAAAGGCTATTAATAATTATTATTTAGGAAAAAAAACCAATTATGGTGGTTCAATAACACCGGCAACAACAAAATCATCATCATCATCATCGTTAGCCATGTATGGTTCATCAACATATCGTTCGAATTGGAATCTTGTTCAATCACCAACAACAACAATTGATGATCGAATGGTTGATGTTGACCTCGATCCAACCTATCAACGAATACTTGAAAATTTTCGTAAAGCAATGGCTCATTGTAATTGACATATTATTATTATTATTATTTCATCATAATAGCAAAAAAAAAATTTCAAATTTATTTATTTCATAATAATATTTGTGATAACTGGAAAGAAAAAAAAATATTTTTTATTAACAATTTTCAAACAAATAATGTTCAACAAATTTTGTATGAATAAAATTTTCCAGACTAGTTAATTTGATTAATATTTGATGATCAAATTGAATACAATTTTCATCATCATTATTGACAATCGAATTACATAATGGAAATGTTTCTGTAACATCATTACCATTGTAAATGATTCGTAAAAGTTTTTCATTGTTTATCGATGATGATGATGATGATGATGATGATGATGATGGTTCATAAACTTCAAAAATTACACGCGATGCATATGGAGGAATGTTACGTTCAACAAAACCGATTACCGTAGCTAATGAATGTATAGTTAAATCATGTCCGGAAAATATGGATAATTTTTCCGTTGATTTGATTGTATCGATAATATTCAATAAAAATCCATATGATTGCATCCAACTAATACGATGTTGATCTTCTGAATGCATTAATTTATGACCTAAATCATTAATGAATGTAAAAATTTGTTCAACATTTTCCATTTCAATGCATTTATTGTTATCATCATCAGCAGTATTTTGTTGACAAGGTAATTGTTCCTGATGACAGATAAATGAATTTAGTGTATCAAAAATGGAAACAATCGAACGTTTATAACTTCCAATCGGATTCGATACATTGTTTGGTTCGATAATATTTTCCACTTGTTTAATCATTTTGGTAAAATTTTTATCATGATCATAGCTAAAAGTATTATAAATTTTTTTCTGTAATTCTTCCATTTCGGTACAATTATGAAAACAATATTCATGAGTATTATGATAATCACAAAAATAAACACTGGAAAATTGATGATAATTCATCGATGATAAATCAAAAACATTTAGGTTATTTGTTTCATTGAAAAAACCATATAAAAAAGCTAAAGCTGATTGTATTGTTCGTGGATATGGTGTTGTGTTGATACGAATTTGTTTGGCTAAATTTGTTAAATCAGAATCCATATTCAATTTTGGCCTATATACACGATTCAATAATGAACCTAATTTTAAATGTTGTGAAAGGCCAAATTTCGTCAATAAACCTGGCGTACAACCATCCGACATAAGAACAGCACCCAAAAATGAACTATTATAAACACTAGATCGGGCTATGAATTTAGATAATAATGTTGATATTCCAAATGTTCTTTCATCATTAAGTCTATTAACCTCATACAAATGGGTACGATTACAGGGAATTTTCTCCAAATTTCGAACATTTTTCAATGGACCACGATCACCATGTCTTATCAATATTATTATTTTATTCAATTGAAGATTATAACCACAATAATTGAATGTATCTTCATCACCAATTTCAATATCATCCAAAAAACTACAATATTTTCGTAATCCATTTAATTTTGGATCAAATTTAAGATTATAATTAATCGATGTTTTATTCGAATGTTCAACAATGAGATCATTTTCATGTAAATTATCAACATTTGTTCTAAATGCTAATAGAAGTAGAGAAATAAATTCATTCCATAAGTTATGATTTATTAAATAAAATGAAAAAAAGCAAAAATTACCAATAGAAAGTATGATCATAAGTGGTACAAGACAAATCAGTAAAAAATTGACTCGACTGACATTATAATCGAATAATGTCAACATTATTTTCTAGGGAAAATTTTTATTAAAAAAATATCAACAATAATAAAATAAAATTAAAAAAATATTCTTATGCAATCATTTCGATTCAATCAAAATTTTAGAGTGTTCAAAAAAAAAAAATAAAATAAACACCTTCATAATCGATACCATCATTTGAAAAACGTTCATCACTCGCATCGGTCACATGTGAATTGAATCAATTCATGAGAATTTTAAATTTTAATTTCATTGATCCAACAACATTTAAAATATGCGATCTATTCTTATATTACGAAACGTTTCATCAGCGGCTTTCAATCGTAGCGGCTGGAAAAATATTGATAAATTTTCATCTTCAACATTATTTGTGAGTGATCGAAATCGATATCAATGTCGACCATCAAATGTTCGAACATTTACATCATCCGGCTTATTAAATGTTTCATTGTTACGTTCAAATAATGAACTTCGTATTATAAGAAATCCACTTATTTTTCAATCTCGATTCAATTCGTCAATAGCTAAAACTAGTGATGGGGATAATGTAACAACAGAAAACGTAATCGATCTTACAACTATTGATATACAAAAATCACCGTTATTGGAAAATGAAACAATATCGAATGCTGTGATTGAAACATCGGTTGCATCATTAAATCTAGGATCGAATTATACTCCAGTCGGTTGGTGTGTTCATTATCTAGATTTTTTACATTCGGTATTCCCATGGTGGGGAGCGATTGCTGTCGGAACAGTAATCCTAAGGCTTTGTATGTTTCCATTGGTTGTACAAGCTCAACGATCAGCTGCTAAACTGAATGAACTTTTACCTGAACAAGCAATACTAAAGGAAAAAATGAATCAAGCTCGAATTAGTGGTGATTCTATTGAATTTGCACGTTTATCACAAGAATCAATGTCAATGTATAAACGAAAAGGTGTGAATCCATTCAAAGCAATGTTAGCTCCATTCGCCCAAGCACCGGTATTTATAACGTTTTTCATAACATTACGACGTATGGCCTATCATCCTGTAGAATCATTAAAAACTGGTGGTTTATTTTGGTTCACTGATTTATCAATTAGTGATCCATTATATGCATTACCATTGATAACCTGTGCAACATTATGGTTGACATTGGAAACATCTTTCCGTAGTGGTATGTATTTATTCATGTCAATCATGATTCTGATTTTTATTTATTTTTTACTTTCTAATTTATAAAATAATTAATAGGCTTAAATCCTAATCAAACACCGTTCATAAAATATGGTGCCAGAATAATACCTTTAATAACATTGGCATTTACATTCAATTTTCCATCCGCTATTCTAATGTATTGGTGTACGAATAATTTTATATCATTATTACAAGTACATTTACTTCGATTACCGAAAGTTAGAAATTTTCTCAATATACCGCAGATTAAAGTCAAACCACAACAATTGGATATAAATAAAAAATCATTCACTCAACGTAAGAAATTCGATTGAATGATGAATGATGATGATGATGATCATTGAACATTTTTTATCTTGTTTCTAGATTTTCGTGAAACAATGGATAATGCAAAAATTAATCGAAGAATGGAAGAAAGAAATTCATTGGATGAAATTTCATTTAAAAAAGCCGGTGTTGGACCATTACAGAAAACATATAAACATGATCCAACATCTAGAAATTGATTTTTTTGTTATTCTTTACACACACAATTTAATCATGAAATTTTAGAAACAAAATATATTACTTGTATATATAAAATATCACATGAATTATTTGGATGAAAATGGTGCATATAATCTTAATAATTGTTGATTAATTATTGTATATTCTTGATCATTTAATGGTCGTACATCGGAATCAACTTTTATTACATCATAAGTGGAACCATTTCCATTCAATATTGTTGATTGATTTGAAAATTCTAAATGAACCGGATTCGAATTGAATTGTATTTCCATTCGTTCGAAATCATTTAATATTGATTGTCCGGATTTTTGTTGCTGTTGTTGTTGTTGGTAGCAATAATGTCGAGCCATTTCTTCCAAAAATGGTGAACCATGATGATGAGCAAATTTTGTTCCACAATAATTATCACCAGAATCATAACAGAATCGTTCACGTAATTTTAAAAATGGTATAGGCATTTGTGGTGGTGTTGTCATACACAAATTTGATTGAAAATATTGTTCAAATTTATTTATGGATTCATTATCACTAGAATCTATTTCGGGTGATTTATATGATTTTATTTGAACATAATTATGATCATGTTCAATATTTAATCGACTTTTTGGTCGATCAACAATCGATGACTGAGGGCAAACATCTGGAACAACTTGTAAATCATCATTATTACATTTTTTCTGTTTAATTAATGTTTGCATTTCTTTAAATAAATTTTCTCTTAATCTTGTATCGAGAATTTGTTTCAATCGATCATATAGTTCATTAATATTAATTCGTTTATCCGAATCGATTTCGATCAATGAACGCATAATTTTCATCGTTTCTGATGTAAAAAGATTTATTGTTGGAAGATCATAATGGCCAATGTTGATTTTTTTAAATAATTCATTAAATGTTTCGGCATAAAAAGGAAATTTGCCCAATAACATTGAATAAAAAATGACACCTAATGCCCAACAATCGGATGGTTTCGGTGCATATGGTCGTCGTTTTAAAACATCCGGACTAATGTAAGCCGATGAACCACGATGATCATTAATACAGGTTGTATCATTTATTACAAAACGTGCAAGACCAAAATTTATGATTAAAATTTTTCCATTACGATGATTATAAAGAATGTTTTCCAAACGTAAATCACGATGTGCAATATTTTTTTCATGTAATGATTTTATTACTTTAACAACTTCGAATAAAATCTGTAATGCTTTCATTTCGTTGACATTTTTATAACGTTTTACATATTCTTGTAGATTTTCATATTCACATCGAAAACGATTATATCGATTATTCGAAAGATGTGGAATTATCGGTACAATCAAAGAAAATATATGCGATACATGACAATCAAATGCTAAAATTAAACGTCGATAAAATTTTCCAATCTTATTCAGATATTTACAATCCAGATAATGATGATGATCAACATTATTTGAATGTTTTGAAACATTTATTTCATCATCATTGATATCAGTTTCGGTTGTCAATTGTACAATTTTCATACATTGTTCACATACATCAACATCACATTGTTTATTATCGCAATCATTTTCAAAATAAATATCTGAATATAAACCACGTATCTGAATGATACCAGGATGATTTTTGAGCAATGATAAAACCGAATATTCATTATAAATCATCATTTTAGCTTGACGTTGACTTTGATTTTCATCCATACGATCTTTAGGCAGTACAACAATTTTCAACAGATAATATCTATTCGGATTAATATCATCCATTTTTCTTGCAATATAATTATCAATACCGGATAATTGAGGAACATCGGTCAATTGACAGCCAAGAACAAATGGACCGGCACGAATGAATGAACGATATGGATCACAATTACATTTTCGTTTGTAGATTGAATCGTTTTCGAAATTCGAACAAATTTGACCAATCACCTGTGTGATTTTTTGATCTGATTGAATTTCCGAATCATCATCAACATCATCATCATCAACATCATGATTATTATCGTTTTCAAAAAATGTTTGATAACTTCGTTTCATTCTTGAACAACCGAAAATAAAAAAATGAAACAAAAAATAATAATAACAGACAGCTTCGAAATCGACTCATCAACGACTGTAGATGGCGTTGAATTCGAAAATTTTCAATTAATTTTTCAAAAAAACAAATAAAAATGAAATTTTATTTTGAATTCATCAATAAAANATTATTTGAATGTTTTGAAACATTTATTTCATCATCATTGATATCAGTTTCGGTTGTCAATTGTACAGTTTTAATACATTGTTCACATACATCAACATCACATTGTTTATCATCGCAATCATTTTCGAAATAAATATCTGAATATAAACCACGTATCTGAATAATACCGGGATGATTTTTGAGCAATGATAAAACAGAATATTCATTATAAATCATCATTTTAGCTTGTCGTTGACTTTGATTTTCATCCATACGATCTTTAGGTAGTACAACAATTTTCAACAAATAATATCTATTCGGATTAATATCATCAATTTTTCTTGCAATATAATTATCAATACCGGATAATTGAGGTATATCGGTCAATTGACAGCCAAGAACAAATGGACCGGCTCGAATGAATGAACGATATGGATCACAATTACATTTTCGTTTGTAGATTGAATCATTTTCTACATTCGAACAAATCTGACCAATCACCTGTGTAATTTTGTAATCTGATTGAATTTCCGAATCATCATCATCATCAACATCATGATTATTATCGTTTTCAAAAAATGTTTGATAACTTCGTTTCATTCTTGAACAACCGAAAATAAAAAAATGAAACAAAAAATAATAATAACAGACAGCTTCGAAATCGACTCATCAACGACTGTAGATGGCGTTGAATTCGAAAATTTTCAATTAATTTTTCAAAAAAACAAATAAAAATGAAATTTTATTTTGAATTCATCAATAAAAAAAAATCATTTAAAAATTTTATAAATATTTATTGATTGGTTCACCAATCAATTGTTCAATATCGGTAATTAATTGTTTTAAATGTAATTCAATTTGTTCAGAATCATCTTCACTTAGATCAGCAATGAATGGCATTGCTTCAGGTATGAATGGTAGATAATCTTCATCACATGTTAACACTAAACGATGTAACAGTTTGATTGCACTGATTTTAACCTATTGTAAAAAACAAGAAAAGAAAAAAACAATTTAAAAAAATGAATTAACATTCAAAAAAAAAAACAATGAAATTACAAACCTTTACGTTTGATTCTTGTGATTTTAATAAAATTTGATAATTAAAATCTTTGATTAAAGTTTCATCTCGATTATTTTGTATAAGATATTGTGTACATTGTAGAATAAGATCTAAACGTTTTTGATAATCATCATCATTTCCATATAGATTTGATATTTGATTGACAATTGGTTTGAATATTGATGATATACAATCTTTATTAACAAATGTACCGTTAAGATCGTATAGGAAACATTTGGATAATGTTGATAGTACAGCCTGTACTAATGGTTCACCCACTTTTGGATCATCAATTTTTAGCTGTGGTTCTTGATTTGTTGTTGTTGTTGTTGATGTTGACATTGTCGAATCGTTTGTCTCTGGAGAATGATAACCAATCAAAATTTGATTACAATTTTTAATAATATTTGGTGCAACAAATATACAGAAAAGACTTTTCAATCGATCAGCAAGAAAAGAACAAAAACGATAAAATGAAATGATTCGTTGATAACAAGTATCGGGTAATTTAAAATGGTGACCATCCGATTCCGGTATCTGTAATTGATCTGTTTTGATTGACCAATCCAATAATGAATAATAAATTGGACGAAAATTTGTTTCGGTTAATTTTGGAATAAAAGCAGCAAATGCTTCACAAAATGATGTTTCAATTCGTTCAATCATTGAAACATCAACTTTATCATATTTTTCCGAACGAAAACTTAATGATTTTAGCATAAAATTTTTCAGATTTTTCAATATAATTTCCATATCAGATTTTTCAATAAAATCACATGAATATTTGAATAAATTCATTAGATGAATAACTGATTCAGATGATTCGGTAATGGCCAATTCATATGATGAATCAATTGCTTCGAATACAATACGTTTCGGTACTAATTTAGCAATTGATAACCATAATTTATTCAATTTTGTTCGTAGATCATTACTATTATTATCAAATGATAATGAAAACAATGGTAATACATGAATAATAATTGATTTTAAATGTGGACTTAGAAATGGACCAAAATTCAAAATAATCTTATGCAATGAAGAAACATTCGAAATAATAACAATTTCATCTTTTGTATTGAAAATTTTCAATATCAATTCAATTACATCGGAAAGATGAACAATCGATTTAGTCGATAATGTTGATAGGATTTGTGATAAACATAGAATTGAACTTGTACGAAGATTTTGTAATGATTTTGAAATCTGTTTATCATCATTATTATCCGTTGAATCTTGTTGTTGATTATTAATCAATCTGATAATTTCGATGATTTTGATTAAAACCTGTGTCAATATTTCATCAATGGCAGTAGAAATATCTTTCGATAAATCGTCATTATTAATGAATTTTGTCAATAATTTCATTGATAATAAAATCAATTGAACATTGTACAATTGATTATCATCTAAATGTTTAAGATTTTCTTGATAAATTTTCAAATGATCATATAATGTTTCAAATATTTTCATTGTTGTTTCAAGATTCATATCATTCGGGCCAAGTTTATCAAGTTTTTTATTTAATAATTCTAATGCTTTACGTTTGATTAAAATCGATACGAATGCTTCCATTTGTGCTGTATTGTTCAACAAATCATAAAGTACAATGTCCAATAATTTCGCATTCGGTACCAGAGCATTATATTGTAAAAATATTTCATCCAATATGGATTTAAAACGTTTACGATATATTTGTAATGATGAACGTAATCCATCACAACCAGGATTGATTAAAACAATCAATTCAAATGTTATATTAATAAAATATATTAATGGTATGGATGATATTTGTTCATAATCAAGTTTACGAATACCATAAACAAATTCCGTTGTTGAAATTAAATTACGAATAAATTTCAATATTTCTAAACCACAGGCAAGTTTTTCACCATCATAAATGATTGTTGTTTTAAATTCTTTACAAATTGATTTGATTAATGTTATTAATGATTGAAATTGTTCAGGATTTTGTCGTTGTTGTTGTTGTCGAATAATTGCCGTATAAAATAATGTATTATTTTTTGATTGGATTTTTTTCTGAAATGAATTACGAAAATGGCTATGCAAAAATTTTGTTTCAAATAAACATAGCAATATGCAAACCGATCTTAATTGAATATCATAATCAAATTGTTGAAAAAGTGTTTGCAAAAATGAAAACCCAGTTTCTTTTTCCGTTTCAGATTTCATTGATGATATTTTTTCCATTAAATAAACAGTTATTAACGGTAAATGATGATCAGCACCAAGTAAAGTAATTAATTTGGTAAATAATTGTAGACGACGATATGCTGGTATATCGGAAAATGATTTTATAAACACTGATGATATAAATTGTTTCATATTTTCTGATTTTGATGATTTACTCTTATCAACATTATCATCATTATTTGCAATAATAATCGGTATTATTGATTCCATTGTTTCGAATAATATTGATAATGAATATTGATCATCACATTCTAACAGATTCGAACCAATAAATGTAAAAATAGTAACCAAATATTCTATGATTTGTTTACGGAAATATGGAGCAATCATACTGATCAATAGTAATGATATTCTTTGTGTTTCTTTTACCCGTGATTCGGTTATACAATCGATAATAATATCAACATTAATATAATCCATAAATTCAGCCAAACTTGTTGTTGTTGTTATTGTTTCATCACCATCAACATCCATACGTTCTTGATCATTCTTTTTAGCCAATTTTAATTCAATAATATTTGTTATTGCATACAATAATGATTGACGAGTAAGTTCACTAAAATTATCATCAATATCCATAAATGTTAATTTAAGATAATCAAACATTATTCGTATTAATTCGCCATTAATATTTGAAAATGTTTGTTGATGTGCCAATGATGAAATATAGATTCGAAATAATTTCCATTTTGTTTGTGATTGTTTACGATTCGAATCGGCCATTCTCATACGTTTTGTTGGTTGTTCAATGGTTGTAATTGTTTCATAAACATCATTTATTGGTAATAAAAAATTCATCATTTGAATGACAAATGATTCATCAAATGTTAATGTTAATAATTGTTGTTCCATTGAATTAATCAAATGACCATAATTGAATGTTGATGATGGTGATTTTTCCGATAATGATAATTGTGTTTTCAATAATGATTGTACTAATTTCAATGCAAATTCAACATTTTCATTAAGAATCATTTGAAAACGTTCCGGTGTAATCAAACGAAAGATTTTTGTAGAAATATTTTCAGTCAATATTGAACCTGAACATTCAATACATTTGATCAAGAATTTTAATGACGGGTTTTCTTTATTTTCAACAAACAAATCGTTTGATGTATCGAAAATTTTATAATCATAATAATTTATAATTTCATTCAATTGTAATTCTTCATCTGAATCGATAAATCTATTGGTCATCGATAGAAAATCTGTATAGAATTCAAAAATAATTGATTTAATTTGTTGATTACAATATAGTAATAATTTCAATAATGCAACTTTATGAAATGATTTGATTGTAGAATGTTTAGCTGTTAATATGAATATAATTGTCTGTAATAATTCATTTACAATTGGATAATCATTAGAATTCTGTAATCGACCTAATAATAATGCTATAGCATTCATATCGGACAATATTAACTGTTTTTCATCAATAATTTTCTGAATAAATAATTTTAAATCATCGGCAAGTTTTTCATTTTTAACAATACGTTTTAAATTTTCAATGGCCATTTGTCGTGTTGATGTTTTGGATGAATTCAATGCCAATAGATAGGCAATTAGATATTGTGAATTTAAACCAATACTATTGATAAGAATTTTTGATGTCGATGAATATCCGAATAAATTATTCAATATCAAAAGTGTTTGTTGTTGAATTGAACTATCATGATTAACAATTGATGGTAGAAAAAATTTCAATCCAGCATGATGATTTTGAATTTTTTCCATTATAAATAATGAAAATAAATAACGAAAAAAGTTTAATGTTTTTTTCTTAATTGATTTCGATTCATTCGGTGTTGAATAATAGATTAATAAACAATAAATTTTATAATAAAAATCATAATTAATTTGATTGTTCAATACATCCGTTAGATACCAATCGGCTGTTGATGGTAGATCATCATTTATAAGACTTTTTTGTTGCATCAAACGATATAAAATATAACCAATAATCAATAATGATAATGATTGATTATTAAAATTATAAAATTCAAATAAAAAATAATCATCCATATTGATTTCATCATATTGTTTAACTGATAAAATTTTCACTTCTGAACGTGAACTAATTTTGATTCCAATGTTCAAAAGATGAAGAAATAAATCCATAATAAATTGACATATAATTTGTGCTTGTTGTTCACCACAATCGATTGAATGATTTTCCAACATTTTAATCATTGAATAAAGAAATAAAAATTTAAATCTTACGCTTGAATTTGATGATAATGATTGTAGAATATTTGATTTTGGAAATAAATTCTGTTGATTTTGATTAAGAAACAATGCAATACCGTTCAGAATATTCTGTGCAAATAATTTCAATTGTTCCATTTGTTGTTCTTCTTCTTGAAGTTTTGTAAAATCATCAATTGAAATGAAATTTTTATTCTGTTCAATTAATATTTGAAACAATGGATTTGTTTTAGCATATTCAGATGATAAAATCAATGTTGATAATTGTAGATCGGTTGATAGTAAACATAAAATAAGTGTTTGTTGCATTTCATCATTGAATAATCGTCGGAGATAATCGCTGGCTGGTAAATTACGACAATAGATTCCATATGATTTTGAACAATAAATTTCAATCAATAATTGTTTCAATTTAATAAATGATTTATTTAAATCAACATCATTTTCAACATTTGGATCGGATAATTGTTTTTGTATCAAACGAATCTGTTCCAATACTATTGATTCAAATTCTTCTTCAGTTAAAATGTTGAAAATTTTTTCCTTAACTTTGAATATTTTCAATAAAATTGTTAATTTTTCTTTTTGATCAAAATCTTGTTTGGTTAAATTTTTTAACAATATTGTTCGAATGAATTTCATATCGGCAGGATCAATATTTTCAATAAGATTGTTAAAATTTTTAGCCAAATATAATAATGATTGATGACGAATTTTTTCGGATGAATGTTCCACACCTAAATATAGTGGTGTTCGTAAATTACCAGCCAATGAATAACGAATTGATTTTAAATATTTGGATAAATTTTTGATTGTCGGTATGGATGATATGGCTAGATCAAAATAATCTGGATACATTTTTTCCAATAATTTTGTTGTATGACAAATAAACTGATATGATAAACTATTATCTTCAATATCATCATCACAGTCATTCATCCATGAAACAATTGATTTTACAGTATCATCTGAATTGGCGAATGTTTCCAATAAAATATGAATATAATTCTTGTATGTTTGTTGATCGAATTTTTTTGAATCTTTTTGCATTAAAATATTCAATATAATAACACGTGGTAAATGTTCCAATTTAATATCGGTACCCAAACTAATCAGATTTTCAATAAAATCTTGTTTGATAAAATATTTTGGTAATATTAACATATTTTGACATTTAACGATAATTTCGAAAGCTATCAATGTTGATTGAGATATGGTAAAATTTTTCTGAAAAAATGATTTCAATATTGTTTGAACAATCGATATTTCTAACTGTACCAGATTACATAGATGACTGAAAATCATAAGGGCTACAGCGAATAATTGTTGATTTTCATGACGAATACAACGAGAAATGACCGAAAGTATATGTGAAACAATCATATCTTCAGTTGAACGTTGCATTAGATTCAGACAAAATGAAAGTAAAAATGATGGAAACAATGAATTATTCTGATCATATTGTAAGCATTTGAAAATCGAATCAGTAACATAATGTGTAAATTCCATATCCGATACACAATGTTTGAATAGATTAGATTTGGTGATTGGTACGCCATTTTCCTGAAATTTTTTCATCCAATAAAAATGACGATTTTTTGGATTTTTTATTTCCGAACATGTTTGCAATAAACGAACAAATATACGTGTTTCATGATAAGGCAGAACCGAACCAATCAATGATTTTACATTATATTCATTAATACGATATCTTTGTATCATATATTCAATAACTTTATGTGAATCGGTTAATTGAAAATATTTTGAAATATAAAATAAAAATTCATCAATTTGTTTATCAATCTCGTCATTTGTTTGTTTATTTTCGATAGAACGATCAAATTTTTTACTTGATTCATGAAATAATGTTTGTTTATATGAACGAAAATGATCATCAATTTGTATTAGATTTTCCAGACTAATAATTGCATTTGAATAATGTGTATCAATATCAATGGTTTTTGCTTGAAAAAAATCATAAAGAAATGAAACCGAACCAAAACGTTCTTTATGTGATGATGTTTGCGGAAGTTTTAGTTCATTAAGTTGTCGCGCCAAACTTGTTGGTTGTTTTAGATTTGACGCCATTTTTTTTAAAGATGATTAAGATGTCAAAAAAAAACTTTTTTTCGAAAAAAACTTGACCGATGAAACAATTTTCTTTTTAAAAAAAAGCGTGTTTCCAAATCAGACATGTGGCTTGAACACGGCGCTGATGATCATCAATAATAAACGTGACACTGGTATGTGGACAATGCGCATGTTCATGTCATTTAAAATTTTTTTTACCAATTTTTCAAAAAAAGGCGGAGTCAAAGTTTTCGAACGTTGGGTAAATCAAACGACCAAACAAAAAAAAAATCCGTTGAATTTCGGCATTCATGTTTGGTTTGGTGGTCCATTCTTTTCTCAAATTTCATCATTTTTTTCTTTGTTTTGGTCATTTTCAAAAACTTTTTTTTTTAAAAAAGAATAATTTTTAAAATGAATATTTTTAAACGAATAACATCATTTGCATCGAATTCATGGCGTGATTTTATCGAAAATCATGAACCAATTATTGATACAGAATCCACTTTATCGAATATTAATGATGATCAATCACATGCTAATGATGCTATTGATGCAACGAAAATCATTGAAAATGAAGAAAATTTTTTCATTCGTAAATCATTGTCACATTTGTTGTTGAAAAAACGTGTTCATAAGAAAAAAACTGTAGCATCAATTTTGATGGATGATCCACGTTCACCTACAAATGTTTTTGCTCGAACACCTATATTAATCGAACGAATCGAATATAATGGTCAGTATTATTTGTATTTATTTTGATGTTTTTTTTTGTTCAATTTAACTAAATGGATTTTTTCATCATTCAGATGTATTGTCACCGTTTAATGTTACCGATATGCTTGATGCAGTCGAAACGGCTATCGAATGTAATGAAAAAACTTTGATTGAAAATGATTTTTCATTGAAATCGGTTGAGCCTAAAACTCCTGTAGCTAATAATGATAATAATGATAATGTTAAAACAGAAATGATCGAAAAATCGGAAACAATTATCAAAAATGAAAATAATGATAAAATTCTAAAAATTGATGAAATATGCGATTGGAATCTGATGGAATATAAAGAGAAACAATTGACTGAATCAATGATTGTTGAAACATCAACTAATACGGCCGATATGACTAAAGATTCAATGTCGAATCAATCCGAAACTCGATCATTAATCGATTATGACGATGATGAGGATATTGAGAATACAAATTGTAAAGTTATTGGTTATAGTGTAAAAACAATTGAAAATCATCAACAAAATTTGAATGATGAAAATTTTGCCGCTTCAACACCTAAAAAACAAGGCAACAACAAATCAATTAAACAACAACAGCAGCGAACACCATTGATGTCAATCAGTAATAGTCCATTGGTTAGAAAACAGATTCCAAAAAACCATCCAATCAACAAAAAACGAATTACGAATGTTCAACGAAAATTGAAAAAACAGCCATCAACACCAATGACACCATTGAATCGAAATCAGATTCAACAAAATCTAATCACATTCGACAAAGAAAATTATTGAATTGAATACTTTTTGATAAAATATTTTGACTCGAGATCCTCTTTTTTTGAATTAATTATGTATCTTTTTTAAACAATTTATTACAATTTTAATTTTCTATTTCGAATAATAATAGTATTTTTTCGTATACTTTTACAAAACAACAAATCTATTCCAATGAATTGATTGTATTTTCTTCAAGACCAGTATCTCGATTTGGTTTGATGAATTCACGCATTTCCGTCAATGATCGATGTGCATAAAATTCTCTTAAAGAAACATTCGGTAATGAATTATCTGGTATTGTTTTATAAACTTTTGAACCCCATAATGTTCCAACTTCCCAATCAGGTACGTTTTTCATAAGATCACGTTCAACATTACGGTTGTGTCGAATTTGACGCAAAAATCTATTATCAAAGGATATTTTGAGAGAAAAAAATTTAGCATGAAATTTCTCATAAACAAAAAAAAAACAAATTGCTTACGCTCGATCAATTTCGGCTTTAATCAATGGCTCGACAGCAATTACATGATCATTATATTCGGCCGTCAATTGATGAAGATGATTTTTTCGACGTTTATAATAAAAAACAGCATATACGCTCATCATAGTACTACCAATGAAAAATGCTTTGTCTATTGAATGAAAAAAGCAGAAATGAATTAAACTTTCTTTTCTTTTTGAAAAATTTTCAGTTTTTATCATCACTTACAGCCAAATATACGTTGAGCAGGTACTCGACGAAAATTTATCTCTTCATAGCCACCGGGAGGAGGCATTTCCTGTTTCGGAGGTCTTGCACTATATGCTGACATGATTCTTTTTTGTTTCGAAGACGATAATTGATTTTTTGAAAATCAAAAATCTTTTTTATTAAACTCAATAATCAGATGTTGTGATCAGGATAATCAAAACAAAAGGTCGACCGTTTATGGCGATGTATTCATAAAGTACGAATGTCATCTCATCTATTAATGGCCGCATTAGAATCGTTCCAAAACACGTGTTTCAATTTGTTTCGAAATCACCAATCTCGATCAAAATGCCAAAAAATAAATTGATTTTGGAGAAAATTATTGCTCCAACAGCAGAAAGTGATGATGATAATGATGATGAACAAGATAATGGTGTCAATAATTTTAATGATGAATATTCAGACGATTCTGATGCCGAATTGGCAAAAGATTTTGCTATGGGTAAACTTAAACCAGGTTTATATGGTATGGTTCCATTCAAAAGAACTGCTGAACAAATAAATGACAAAGAAGGTAAATTATAAAATAGTTAAAAACTATTTGATTTGAATAATAAATTTTCCTCAAAAATTTATCCTTTTGAAAGGTTTGAACAAAAAATTAAAGGATATCAAAATATTTGAAGATAATTGGCTAGAACGATTGGATTTAATAAGTGAACCGGCCATAATTACACCGGAATTATTACATCAATATGGTGATCTTGATCTAAAAGTAAATCGTAAAGGTGAAATATCCGGCGAAGAACTTGATGATCCGGCACAAAATGATTTCAAACGTGAAATGTTATTCTATCGTCAAGCTCAAACAACCGTAATGGATGGATTACGACGATTTCATAATCAATATAACATTAAAAATACTTCTCGACCAGATGATTATTTTGCTGAAATGCTTAAAAGTGATGAACATATGAAAAAAGTTCATCAAAAGCTTGAAACACGACAAACATCATTGGAAGCATCAGATAAAGCAAAACGACAACGAGAGCTGAAAAAATATGGTAAAAAAGTTCAACAAGAAATTCAATTGAAACGACAGCAAGAAAAACGAGAATTGTTGGAAAAAATTCAACGCTATAAAAAAGGCAAATTAGATTCATTGGATTTTCTTGATAAACAAGATAGTAGTGGACCATCAACATCGAATAAACAACAAATGAATAGTAAAAATGTTAAGAAAAATGGCAACGCTAAAGTAACAAAAAAACAACGATATAAAGAAACAAAATATGGTTATGGTGGCCGAAAAAAACGTTCGAAATATAATTCATCACAATCGGCAGCAGATATGTCGACATTTTCTGCCCGTAAACATGGCCGACCAAAAGCCAAAGGAAATCGACCTGGAAAATCACGACGACAAAAAATGAAAAATAAATGAAAACAATCGACGATAATGATTTGAGAATTTAAAAATTGTAAATTTTTTTTTTGCAAATTTTTCATTAAAAATTTTAATTTAAAAAAAACAATCCAACACCTGTTGCCATCTATCGTTCGATATATGACCAGATTCTATAATCATTAAATCAGCTGTATACAAAATTGTCAAATTTAAATGGGTGTTTTTTGATGAATTTTCAACATGACATTATATAGATTATGGTTAATTTCATTGGTGGATGAAAAAATTCTTTATTCAAAATTTTTTCCACATCAAGAGAAAAAAGATGGCTATACATTTCCATTGATTACATCACAAGAATTTATTAAATGTCTTTATCTTTCATTGGGTATTGATAATAATCAAATATTTAGTAAAACAAATTCAAAAAAGACAAAAGAATCAAATCTTAATCTTTCCACTACATCATCATCATCATTCGAAAATCCGGACAACATTTCTCAATATAGCCGTGATCGACGTTCATCATTATCATCATCATCTTCATCATGTTCATTATCATCAATGATGTCTAGTACGACATTGAATACGATAGCAACAGTATCAAGACAAACATCGATGGATTCAACTGCACAGTTATCGGAATCAAGTGTATTAAAAGAATATCTTTGTCTATATAATCATCTACCATTGATTATATGTCCATTGGTAAATATGCGAAAGCAACGACAAGAAAATTCAATGACAATGTCATCATCATTCAATGAAGATCATCGATCAAAATCCGGTTTGGTTGATAATCTAATTCTATTGGTTTATGAAAATCAAGGATATTTGTTTGTTTGTTGTCCAAGAATAAGCCAGAAATCACAATCAGAATTTCTTAAAACAAATCATGATCATTGTGATGTTAATGAAAAACTTTTACTACAAGAACCGAATATTTCATTATCGTATACAATTTTACATATGATATCATCAATGTTTTTTGCTAAAAATAAATCATTAAGATCATTAGAATTATTTATATCAAGTTATATGCCATTCGGTACATTGATCCGAACAAAATCCGATCAAGATATATTATTGTTATCGAAATTATATCCCAAAGATACAGCCATATCGATACGATTGACTGAATCAATATCAACTTCCTTTCAATCGGATGAAACAAACATACCGGATAATGAAACTATATTTGGTACATTGACAATCAATTATATTGGTACAAAATATAGATCATCAACAAAATCGGATATTGTTTTGAATATTGAAAATTTACATTCCATATCATTGGTATTGCCAACAAATTGTTCTACGAATGAATCATCATTAATCTATGATATTAATAATCGAAATCAATATAATCTAAATATAGTACATTATAAAACAAATAATAACCAGGATGATGATAATAATGGTTATAAAAATAATCGATCATCAAATGAATGGAAATTTTTTCAAACTAAATATACGATTCATCGTAAATCTAGTCCAGGTCAACAAAAACAACAACAACAACAATCATTTATCAATTCAAACAATATTCATCATATCAATTTGATTATTTGGATAAACGATAAAATATCATTATTTGATGATATAAAATTTAAATATTTTTTAATAAAATTCAGTCTAAATCGTGGACAATCAAAAAAACAAGTACAAACAATTGGAAATTCAATAAATAATTTGATTATTCGTGATTCAGTAAAAATTAGTCAAGGACAATTAAAAAATGAACAAAATTCATTGGTATGGATGATTGGTAATCGATTATCAAGAGCGACAAAAAAATTATCAATCGATTTTGATTTGGTTATCGATAGAGATAATCTAAAAAATTTAGATACACAATGTACATTCAATCATACAGTACAATTTCGAACCAATCTTCATTATCGTTCAAATCGACCATTAATTAATAATAATACATCTATGATGATACGTAATCAACAATTGTTTGAATCAAAAATTCAACCACCAATTAATATGATACCATCATATTTAAGATTATCAAAAATTGCTATGATAATATCCGAACCAATGATTACTTCTCAACAACAACAACAACAATCATCAACAATAAATGAATCAAACGAATATTGTAATATCGAATACAATCTAAATAGCTATGAATATCGATTATATCCATCGATAATCGATTCGAATGTTTAGATTTTTTTTTTAAATTTTGACAATTTTTTTTACCAAGATTTTTAAACATAATTTATTTACAAAAAAGAAAGAAGATTCTTTATAAACAGTAAAAATAAATATCGTCGTTAATCATATCATCGTTATCGAAAAAAAAGTGTTTGTTTTTCTTAAAAAGTTGGGCCAAAAAAAAATGAAGTAGTTTGTGAGAAATTCGTAGACAAAGATTGATTGATTATGAATAGACAAGATGTATAGAGAGAGAGAGGTATATTAAAGCGGAGGCTTTCATGTAAAATTAAGCAAAACAACACAAAAAAAAATAGAGCAAAATAAGCCTTAGATGTGATGGTGTAGATGTCAAAAAAAAAGATAAATAATCAATGATTGAGAAAAAAAAGTAAATGAAAAAAATGGATAAATTGAAAAAAAAGATTATCAATCAATCAATCAATCAATAAACAAACATCAACAAATAACAAATAACAAAAAGAGAATTCATATTAATCAATCATCAAATAAGATGATGATGATGATGATTGATCAATAAATATGTAAATATGTGTTTGTTGGGTGTATAATCAAACTTGTTTTATATATGTAAAAATGTATATTTGTAATAGGCATATGTGTGTGTGTGTGTGTGTGTTTATCAGATTATCATCAGTGGTAAAATATAAAGTGAATAAATATAGATTTTTTAGTCAATTTTGTTTGTAAAAAAAAATGTAAAAGTTTTTTTTCGGTACATGAGAGTTTTTTTTCGAATGAATGTTTTTGAATATTTGTAACAACAACAACAACAACAAAAAAAAAATTCCATCATTGAATCACAAAATAAATATTTTTGTTTTGTTTGGGAATGATCAGAAAAAAATCAGAACTGATTAGCTTATTGATGATATTGAATCTCTGTATGTGTGAGTGTTTTTTCTTTCCTGTTTTAATTGATTTTTATACAAAATGATGATGATGATGAATATGATACAAAAATGATGAGTAAAATTTATCGATAATCACATTTGGAAACAAATATTTATATACGAATATCATTATCGTGTTTTCTTGTTCGATTTATTCATTCATTCATACATCAAACCATCGATGTATCGATGAAATGACCATTAATAATATTACAATTTGTTGTTGCAATATTATTTGTAGGAACATTAATATGACGTTTATGAAGATGATGATCATGTTGTTGTTGTTGTTGTTGTTGATTCATTTTTATTTTTGCTATTGGATTTGATTCGTTTGTTTCGGTTTTATTCAATAATTCGGATGAACTTGGTGATGATGAATCATGACAATCACCATTATGGTGTTGTTGTTGTTGTTGTTGATCTATTTCTAAATTATTTGATTTTTGTTGTGGAAATATTTCCATTTGATAACTATTAGGATCAATAATTTCAACATTATCTTGTTTTGAATCCAATTGATTATCATTATTTAGTTTGACACTGATATGTTTATCATCCCACACGTTGAATGTTGTGTCGGTTTTATCATTTGGTATGGAACGTTTTGCTTGTTGTAATGTTGGATGATCTTCATCAAATATTTCTTTACCGCTTAATGGAAAAAAATGTACATCAATATCATCTTCATTTAGTTGTTTATCACCATCATCTTCGTCATCACTTGATGCAGGACTAGATGATAAAGATGATGACGATGATGAACAAATCGAGCTAGTTGTATGCGAACCATTCAATGGTACTAAAGTTTCATCTTGTTGATTATTATTATTATTATTATTATTATTTGTTTCTTTTCCAACAATTTTTTGTTGTTGATTTTGGTGATCATTATCATTATTATTCTTTTCTTCTTCAGCTTTTAATCGATCAATATTATAAAAACTGACATTAATGAATGATTCTTTTTCATTGATATAATTCAATAACATTTGTATCATACGAAGAAACGTTGGTCGAGATTTTGGTTTCTTATTCCAACATAATAACATTAGCTGCCACCTGTAATTGTAGTAATAATTAGTATTTGAAAACATATATTGAAAAGTTTTTACTTACATAACTTCCGGACAATGTTCCGGTTCAGTCATATGAAAACCATCCATGATATATTTAAGAACCTCTTCATTAGACATGCCAAGATATGGCTGCGAACCAAGCGTAACAATTTCCCAAAGTACCACACCATAGGCCCAAACATCGGAATAAGTAGTAAAAATACCATCTTTTAATGATTCTGGGCTCATCCATCGAACGGGCAAAAACCCTTTATCACCTTTACGATAATAGTCTGATTCACAGATATCTGTAAAAAATATATATTTGATATTAGAGATAAAAACAAAATGTTTGTAATCCTTACCTCTGGTCATTCCAAAATCACCGATTTTCACTGTCAAATCTTCTGAAAGCATACAATTTCGTGCTGCCAAATCTCGATGAACAAATTTTTTCGATGCTAAATACGCCATACCATCGGCTATTTCGATGGCCATTCTATAAATTTGCAACAACGTTGGCGGAGATGGATTCAAATTTTCCTGATTTTCTGGTCGATTCTTACGGAGATAATTACGAAGATCCCCGTTGGGCATAATTTCCATTAAAACTAAAAATGGTTGATCTTTCGAACATATGCCCAACAATTTGACTACATGATGACAATCAGTGAATGATCTTTTAGATTAAAAAAATGAATATAAATGAAAACAACAATACTAATAATAACAAATGATTGACATACTTCATAATTTCAGCTTCTTTAAGAAAATTGGCACGATCACGTGGGCCTTTATTTTCGTTCAATTTTTTAACCGCACAACGTGTGATCAATTTATCTTTGATAAATTCGCCTACATATACCTTACCAAATGAGCCTTGACCAAGCTCATGTATCAAAGTTATTTTATCACGTGGTATCTCCCATTTCGGATCCAATTTATAATCTAAAAATAAATAAATAAATTATAATATGAATATTTTTCAGATAAACAAAAATACATACTAAAATTTGAATTAATATAATCTGGATTGACCGAAATGTAGTCCAATTTATTTTGATTGACACGATATTTATAATACACAATAGCGATGATTATTGTAAGAATGAATATAATGACTATGGCGATGATCACAAATTTATAATTAGCCGGTTCTTCAATATAAACATAAAATGGTTCAGTCCAATTTCCGTAATCAGCCAACGAAAGTGCACGTAAACGAAATGAATAATTACCCGACCTTAATTTCATATTATAACTATTATCTTTTTCACGATGTTCATTCGATGATATACAAATAAATTGTTTGTTGGGAAATTCTTCGGAATGATATTCAATTTCATATCGAAGTATAAAGCCATTTGGTTCAATCGGTGGCAACCATCGTATTATTACTGATGACAATGAACTTGATGTACTATTCTCAAGCGAATATGATATAGTTGTTTGATTAATATCATCGGCACCCGGTAATTTTAATGTTTTGATTGATGTTATTGCCGATACACTGCAATATTTTTTTTCATTACTTGAATTTTGACATGCTACAACTTCGATTATATATTCAGTAAAATGTTTGAGATTCTTGAAATGAGCTTGTTCAGAAGTAACTCTTTCTTGATGAAAAAATTTTGAAGTTTTATTAGTTGATATCGTAGTGGCTGATGATGATGATGATGATGTTGACAATGATAATGAAGTAAATGGAGTAGTTGTTTGTGGAATGTAAGATGATGTGGTCGATGAATTTTCATCATAATGATGGCGACGATTCGATTTATTTACAAGCGAAAGTGGATGGTGATCAATTTCATTTTGGATTGCTGATGAATTATCAATATTGGCAAAATTTCCATCTTCAATATGTCGACGGCTACGATTATCACCATCAATCATTCTATCCTCTTCATCATTATCGATTGTCACTTTATCCATTCTAAAAGAAATTGCAGAAAAAAATTAATTTCAAGTACAAATCAAATTTTTTTTTGTATTCGGATTACCGTTTAACATATACAATGTTTAACAAAGTATCTTCAAAAGTGATACTTTGTTCAACATCATTTGATCGAAATTTAATCTTGCCACCATCTTTTTCATCGATATTCTTTTGTTTTTGTTTATCACTTTTATTGCAGCTACAACATTGTTTTGATAATGTTGAATTAGAAATTGTTGTTTTAGGTACTTTGTCGTTTACTGAACTAGTTGGTTGACTTAAAGTTGTAGAACGTTCACCACATTGCATCGATCCACGTTCCAAATGAAATAAATTTGTATATTTTTCTTCGGTCAAAGTTACTTTATAATTTGTCACAAGACCATTTGGTTTGGATGGTGGTTCCCATCGTAAAAATATCTCATTTGGTTTCATTGCTTTTGCCCATAGATTTAGTGGTTGTGATGGTGCTGGTTAACAAAAAAAAAGAAAGAAGAATATCATGTTTTTTGAATGTCAATTTATAAAAAAAGAAAAGAAAATTGCACTTACTATCAGGTTTTGTTTTAAAATATTTAATTTCACTTTGTGCACCTTTGTTCACTGTATTAATCGTATATGTTTTTATATACAATGCATATTGAGTAAATGGTTTAAGATTTGTTATCAAATGTTCATGATATGTATTATTATCATTCTCGACAATATCATATTCACGAACTGTCCATTCATTATTCGAACAGGCATTTACGCCATCAAAAACGGTTACATTTTTATGTTCACTGTGCAAAACAAAAACGAAAACAAAAAATCATTAAGATCAGATTTTGGTTATTGTTAAAAGCAAAATAATTACGCTTCACGAGTATAAATTAGATATCCAACTAATGAACGTTGATCTTCCATTTTGTTGGCAAAATTTTCAAATTCAATCATAACCATTTCCGGACCGCTTTGTTTAATTCGTACATCCAAAACAGATACATTACAAGGAACTTTATCACCATTCGAATGTGATGAAACATCACGTTCATCCCATGGTTGATGAAGGCCATCAACATAATCAACCATTGAAAGAATTTTCTGATAACATAATTTTGGATTTAAATGTACAAATATCTGTCCACGTTGTATATGTATTCGTTTTTCATTATTAATCATAAATTCTTCCGATTTAAATGTCCATAAATCTTGTAGATTTGGATTATCAAATATAAGTAATGAATATATATTACGTTCCAATGAATCTCCACGTATTATTTTAAGATTTCGTAAAAAATTCAATGTTATCAAAGGAAATGAACGAGCTATTCTTAAATATCCAGTTATTTCGACTAAATCTTTCAAATATTCTTGTAATTCATGTACGATTTGTGAATCCTGATCATTGATATATATTTCAAGACTGCCATTGATTTTCGTACATCCTTTTAGTGCCTGTGCACTAGCAATGTTGTTTATCTGCGTACTTTCACAAACTGTAAATCATTCGATATTAATAAATGAATAATATTAATCGATTAATATTTCATAACTGATATTATATTATATTGAACATTTAAAAAACAAAGAATAATTACTTTTTGGACATGTATGTTCACATTTAACACATTTATTTTGATCATTATGATCTTCTTCATAACCAACTGGACATTGATGATCACATTCACCATTAAATGCTTTGAAACGATATCGATGATAACCAGTTGATAATTTTGTTGATAATTGATGACATTCTTCTTTGCTTAAACAACGACGATTTAGATACTATATCGGTGGTTAAAAAAATAGAAAAGAGGTAAAATGAATCGAAATTGTTTCAAAATAAAATTTATTCAAATAACTTACAGCATAACTATTATTTGGACATGTATCATAACAACGATTTTGATAGCGAAATTTTTTACAAGAAAAACATTTCCAATCATTATTTTTATCATCATCATTATTATTATTATTACGATTACGTATACATCCACCAAGACATTGTTCGGGACAACATTCACCCGTTCTTGCACATGTTCGATTCATTGATTCACATTCGGATAAACAAACTGAAATTTTTTAAAAAATTTAAATTAATTGATGAATTGAAATAAAATTAATAACTTACAATGTTTTTGGCAAATATCACGTGTCCAACAAACACGTTGATGACCATCACCAATCTCTTTACCATCCATACGTCTTGCACTAACATGTGGACATTTTTCATCACAAGTTGGACAAGATCCTTGATCTTTATTTTTCTACAATAAAAATTATTTTTTAAAAAGGAAAATTATTTTTTTCTTCTTGTTGTACATACCGAGATCAAAAAATGTTTAGCTATACGGCTCCAATCGACCGTATCAACAAAACAAAGATTTGGATTTTTTTCAATACGTATATCACCACGTACAATATTGGTCAAACTTTTTAGGCCAATCTCCTGTAATGATAACATTTCATATATGACAAATGCATAATTATGTAATAATGTACGTCCACGTATCACCGATAGATTGGGAAACATATTAGCCAATGATAATAGGCCACTAACACGAAATACAAGTAAATAATCGGTTATTTCTCTTAATTTTGGAAAAGTTATATTTTCGTAATCAATTGGTTGACCATTATCAATGAGTACAATCTTAAGAAAACCTTCTACAACGGTACAGTTTTCTAAAAGACGAAAATTAGCCACCGTATTTCGTATATCGATACTACTACAAACTAATTAACAAATGAAGAAACAGAGAGAGAAAAACAGATAAGAATTTTTGACAGAAAAATAAATAATTTTTTTCTTTGACTTTTCAACACACATACAGTTTCGTCAAAATAAATGATTAACCTTTATCAAAAATAAAAAATCACAAACATACCATGTTCTTCAAAAATATATGGATTTTTTATTGAAGAATGTTGTTGAGGTTGTTGTTGTTGTCGTTGTTGTAGTTGAGGTTGTTGCGGTGACAAAACAGGATTCGTAGTAAAGGCAGCCTGTATAATTTCATAATGACCATTATCATTTAAATCATTCATCGATGATGATGATGATGATAATGACGATGTTGTACTGAATTCCATAACCGGTATATTTGTTGATGATGATGATTCCATTGGTATTGTAATAGCCGTATCGGCTATTTTAAAAAGATTAATCATAATCATAACAAATAATAATATTGATGTATAATAATAGAATAAAAATAATAACGTTGATGATGAGGATTTTAAATGTTTTTGACTGATTGTTGTTGTTGTTGTTGTTGTTGTTTTCGCCAATGATGATGTATCGTTGTTGTTGTTTTCAGTATTTTCATTAATAATTTGGTAATTTTCATTATTATTAAAAAATAATAATAATGATTTAAACAAAAATGGATGATGACAACGATCACGATAATATTGATGATGATTTCGACGACATTTATGTCTATGATGATGATGATGATGATGATTTGCACGTGTTCTTTTATAGAATAAATATGTAAAAATTTTATAAATCAATGATGATGATGGCGATTGCTTTTTAGACACCATTGTTGATTTTGTTGTTGTTGTTGTTAAAATTCTGGAAGATGTTTTTGTTGTTGTCGATGATAAACTACTACTATTTACATCATAATAATTAAATATTATGTCATTATTTATAAATCTTTCCATTATCCATTGATAATTTGTTGTTGTTATCGATGTCGATGTTGATGATGATGATGATGATATTAATGTTATCAAACTTGAAGCTTGAATCATTTTTGTTGATAATAATAATAATAATGATAATGATGATGATATTATTATTGTATATAATATAAATAATAATTTTTTTATCAATATTATCATTATAAATAGAATAAATTCAAGAATATTCTTTATTCTGTAAATTTGTTCATCATTATATTGTTGATGATGATTATTGTAGAATGATTTTTCAAAAAAAATTTCTTCAAACATGATTAGTTGATTGGATATCGAAAATCATTTGTTTCAGCTGTAGTAAAAAAAAACAAGTCATGGTAGTAGTTAAAGGTGATGCATTGCACTAATGTAATCTATAATATATTGCACTTGAAGTAGGACAAATTTAAAAAGAATCACCACTTGTTGATTTTGTTCCAACAAAACAAAAAAATGTTCATAGAAACACACACACACACTATCCTAATAGAAAACACTAAAGTAAAAAATTCAATTCAATCAAATCAATTGATCCATGATGTATCCGATTTATTGATGATAATAAAATTCTTATTATTCTGATTGAATGAATAAATTTTTTTCAATTTTATCAACAACAACAATGATGTTGTTATAGATGATGATGATGATGATGATGATGTAATCAAATCCATTTGATTAAAAATTCTGATTCGATTACGTTTTCGTTTCATCATTTTTGATTGTTGTTGTTGTTGTCGTCGCCGTTGTTGTTGTTGTCAATCAAAAGAAAACGTTATTGGAACAACGATAAAAAAATTCCTAAAAAGAAACAAAAAAAATTTATTTAAATCAAATGACATTCGACAGTGGATTATTATAAGAAAAAAATTGCTACTAAAATTCAAGCACACATCACTATCACCATTAACCATCATCAGAAGAATGGAATTGAAAAAAAAGAAAGATTTTTTTGCTCAAAAAGCAAAAGCAAGTTTGGTTCTCGTTATACACCCCACACACCATACCATCATCACTACCACCACCGAGAAAAGAAAAAGACAATGACACTTTGAATGACCTTTTCCTTCTTTCTTACACACACATACACAACTTATGCTGATTTACGAATATTTCAATGAGAGAGAGAGAGAGCGAATGATGTTTAAGGTGAATGAATTATATTCGCTTGTCAAATACACACACAACACACACACAAACATTAACTAACCGAAAAAAAGTTAACCAAATGGATGAATGGAATTATTATTTTAAAAAAGGACAAGATGCTTTCAATTTGCTGGTCTTTGCCCTCGGTATTAAAACTAAAACGAAAGCATACTAAACATACATAAAACGACAACGACCATCAACAAAAAAAAAACAGAAAACAAGACACTCTATAACACTCAACTATAGTGTGGTGGTAGGTTGAAAGATGATGATCGTCGTGGTCGTTGCCACCATTCATAATGATCTTTTTTTTCAGTAGTATACAGCGTGGCATGTATGGATTTTCGGATGAATAAATGGATAAATAGTAAGTAGTGGTTGTGATAATATAGTTAGTGGGTAGGTAGATAAAGTATATTGGCAAAAAAAAAAAATAAATCATTTGGTCGATTGATGTTTATGATGATTATTTTCCATGGTTATTCTCTATTCTCGGGGATAAATTATTTTCAAAAATAACGAGAATAGCATTGAATGGTTAAAATCATTAAACACAGACACACACACAGGCACATCAAGGTGGTCATCCATATAATGATCATACAAAGATAATTTATCAATCAAAAAAAAAAGAAAAAACCGAAGAAATTCTTTGAGGAAAAAATATTGTCATCATTTTTTCATCAGGTTTCTCTAGATTTTAATTCAGAAGAAAATACCAAAAAGAAAAAAAAGTTCAAGAATCAACCAAAATTCAATGCATAAAGATTCTTCTACTCCCACACGAACAAATTCTCAATAAATTCTTAAATTAAAAAAACCAAACCAAACTTCAATCATGGTTAATATCAAAATTGATTAATACTAATCTAATCTAATCACATTTTGGAATCAATTTAAAAAGAAATTAAAACATCTATAATAAACATATGGATTATCCATTATACGCTAATGATGTTTATTTATATTTAGTATAGCGTATTTTGGGTTTTTTGATCACCAAAAAAATCTAAAAATACAACCATTAAACGATGTATAATTCATAAATTTCATTAAATTGAATCAATATTTTTTTTCATTTACTTATCAAATTTACTTAATTCGTAAAATGACCGATTGAAATACAAATACAAATCAATCAATCAATCAATCAATCGATCGATCGATGAAAAATTGATTCGACTAAATTCATATTAATGTTAATAAGTTATTTTTAAAAGAAAAAATCAATAATTCATATGTTTTTTCTTTTGGCCAATTCTATCTGAACGAAAGAAAGAAAAAAGAAAAAGTTGACATTCAATTCCCACGCACAAACAAACGTAAACATACAAGAAAATCTATTTGATTTTTTAAAAAAATTGAAGGTTAAAAAGACAAGGAAAGGCTAAGATTCTTGTTTCTTCGGCTATTTTCTAGGAAAAAAATAATATCAAAAAAAGTAAAGATAAAGAAATCACTAATCACCCAACTGATAATTCATTGGAAAATAAACTGTTTGTATGAACAAAAAATACAATGGCCAAAATTCATTAGAATTTTAAAGTCAAATGAATGAAAAAAAAATCACAAGATACAAATATCAAGAATAGAAAAAGTCAAAAATAAATTGATTTCATCCACATCGCACACACACACAAACATCAAAAAGAAAAGAAAAGAAATTCAGTGTAAACAGTAGCCAAAGGATTTATAAAAAACGGAAGTTTGTTTTGTAAATCAACAACAACAACAACAACAACAAAAAACCCATTCTTATTGTTAAAAATAATAAACATTTTACCAATTTTCAATCAATCGATCAATCAAATCAATCGATTGATAATGACAATCACTAATATAATACGATTTGTTGTTGATAATAATCAATACCAAAAGGTATGTGTATTTTATAAATTACATACAATGTATCAACCAACCAACCAACCAATCTAGCTATGTTTAAATTTTCATTTCATTGATTTTTAAATAAAAAATACACGTGTATAACTGACAAGAGATATCAACATAGAGAGAGAGAGAGAGGGAAAACATCAGTAACTAATAAAAAAAACAAGAACCATACACAACAGAAAACAGATGAGGAAAAAGAAAATAAGCAATTTTAAATTTTTCTTTTGAATTCATTTCATCAAATTATTATTATTATCATCATCATCATCATTGAAAAACAACAACAACAACAACAAAAAATACTGAGAAGGATGTATTTTGTTTCATGATAATGATGATGATGATGATGATGATGATGAGGAAAAAAATCCCCAAAATTTTTATTGTATAAAATAATAACAACAACAACAACAAGTTCAAGAAAGAATTGTCATTGAATTCATTATCATTATTAATAAGTTTGTCTCTTGTGTTGTTGTTGTTGTTGAAAACAAAATAACAAAACAAAATAACAAAATAACGGATTGAATAATGAAATTTTAGATGATTTTTCTTTTCGATTGTTTACAAATTTCATCTTTTTCGATTTACAAATATCATTTTTTCGCTAAACATTTCCACCTGAAGCAATTCTAGTTTTGTTGTTGTTGTTATCATCGTCGTTGTTGTTGTTGCTGAACATATCCTTTTTTGTTTCGAATTCTGTTGAACATTTGATGAAATACGGATATAGATTATGTGAAATTTAATAACTCGAATTACACTGGTTCATTCATAAACGGACGTCTTGATCAAACAAACAAACAAACAAAAAATAACTAAACTGAGGTTTGAACAAGTAAAAAAAAATTTGCCACACAAAAAAAACAAACAAAACAAAACAGGGATGACATGGGAAAAATCAAAAAAGAAAACAAAATCAGAGCACTTTCAAAAAAGAAAAAAGAAAAGAAAACATCAATGATGGGGGAATTTGTTCCTTTCACTAGTCGAAACAAAAAAATACAAACGGTAAACAGAATTTAAATCATAAAGAACCTCTAGATTGATGTTTGCTGATGATGATGATTATTCATTGTTGTTGTTCTGAAATAATCAGAGATGTACGAAAAAAAAGAAAATAGAAAAATTGAGCTGATGATGTGTTCCAAAACAAAAACAACAACATGATTCACACTTCAATGATGAATGTGGATGATGATGATGATGATGATGAGGAGATGAGGATGAGGATAAAGATGAAAAACAACAACAACAACAACAAAAATAACAAAAATAACAACAACAACAACAACGATGATAACCACAACATCGAAAACATCATCATCATTTAGATCATGGTATTTATCCAAAAGATGGTACTTACCCATTCAAAAATGTTGAAAATTTTTTGATCCAAAATATTATAATTTTGTTTGTTGTTTTGAAAAAATTGATTATAGACGTATATATTGTTGAAAGGAAAGGAAAAAAGATTATTTTGAGTTTTTATTTTTTTGTTCATTTTTTTTTATTAGAATCAAGATACAAAAACGAAATGATGATGATGATTCGAATTGGAACGGCGCATACAAAAAATAATACACAAACACACACAACAAAACATACAGGGGAGAGATGATGATGATGTTGATGTTGATGATGTCGATGATGTTGTTGATGATGGTGATGTTGATGATGATGGAAAAGAAGTGTGAGGAAGAGAAATACGAAGACGACGGCGACTTTTCGGCATACACAAAACACAGCAGCAGCAGCAGCAGCAAAACACATTGAATCAATGAAATATTTTGGCTATTTTGATGATGAAAAACAAAAAAAAACAAAAATATTGTCGATGTTGATGATATATGTGTGGTAAACATCGACGACGAAGAAGAAGAAAGAAAGAAAGAAAGAAAGAAAGAAAGAAAGAGCTGCTAAGTGTGTTTTCTGTATCTTTTTTTTCATTCGAATATCCCATACAGTTATTATTGTGGATTTACCACCACCACCACCACCACCACAATTATGTGGTATCCTTACGGAAACTATCGGCATCAATGATAGTGATGACGAGAGAGAAGAAAAAAAAAGGTAGAAGTAAACAATAATGATATGGATTGCGGAAAAAGGAAGTGGTTTAAAAAAAATAGACGAAACTGTTAGAGATACGCCTCCCTTTCATATTTTTATTTATATGAAAAGGTATTGCTGGAACCATCATAACATCATCATTGATTTGATACAAAAAATATGGAGCGGCATTTACCCGCGTCAAATGTTTTTTTTTGTTTTTTGTTTTCTGTGATGTCAATGGTCCAATTTATGACGTGTGTGTGATGATTCCATCAGTTTGTTTTGTTTTTTTTGATCATATTCATTGTTGGATTTTGAAATCCGAAATTCAAAGAGAGGAAAATTAACCAGAAAAATTAACCAGAAATTTCGAAAAAACAAACAAAACAAAATTATCATTAATCAATCAATCAACAAACCAACCAACGACTAAACAACAAAAATCTGAACTATGGACATCAAAATTTAACAAAATCACCATTATAATTTTTTTTTTTTAATAAACAAAAAAAAATCCAACAAATATTTATTCAGTGTAAATAATAATGAAAAAAGGAGAAAAAACATCCTTTGGATATCAATATATATTTCCTTTTCACTATTTCTACTCAACCATCAATCCATCAAATATTGTTAATTTATTTATCTGTTGTTTATTTTCATATAAGAATTTTGTTTTTTTGTAATTGTTTTGTTTTTGTAACAGAAACTTAAATTCAGAGAGAATATTCATTTTCATTTCTCTCACTGTACATTGCATCCATTTTTGTATATAGGTGTGTGTGGTGGTGGCAGTGGAGAGGAAAAAGGGAAAAGAAATTGCCGGTCTGCAATTATTGCAATCAAAAAAAAAAAATAAATTGCAACATACTTCATTGAGAAAAAAAAAACTTATTTGCAACCAAAAAAAACAACAACATCATCATCATCATCATTATCAACATCAATGACAAGAAAGCAAATTGAATGTGAAATAACAACAACAACAACAACAACAACAGGAAAAAAATGGCAATAATAAATACATACAAAACACACAAACAAACAAACAGAAAAAAAGAATAAAGATAAAACTCTCTCTCTCTCTCTCCCTCTCTCTCACTATATATTTGAGAATGTTTGTTTGTTTGGTTTGGTTTTAGTTTGATGAATAAAGAGTCGGCGTCATTCATTATTTATAAAAATGATGATGATGATAATGATGATTCAATAATAATAATTCTTTCATTCCAAAAAAGAAAATATTACCAGAAACTTTGAATCAGAAGATACATGCGCAGAACGAAAAAAAAGGGGGAAAAAATGAAATGAAATTTTGTTATTTGTTGCAAACAACTTTTATCGATTCCGTGTAATAATAATAAATATGTTATAAGGAGATAGGATAGACAGACAGACAGACAGACAAACATAATAAAATTATCAATCAATATTGGGATACTGATTAGAAGAAATGATTGGAAAATAAAAATGGCTGACAAAATGGTTGTTCAATCATCATCATTATCGTGGTGAAAAAAAATCAAAGAGAGAGAGAGAGAGAGAGAGAATTAAAATTTCGCACAGGAACAGCAGCAGCAGCAGCAGCAATCAATCAATCAACCGATCGATCAATCAGTTTAAAGTGGAAGGTGAGACAAACAAACAAAAATTTAATTGATACAAAAGAAGAAGAAGAAGAGCAAAAAAAAAAAAAAAATTTATAATTGAAACAAATCAAATCAACCAAATCTATCAACGATGGTTATGGTGATGGTGATGATGGGTTAAAATCATAATCAAAAAAGAAAAAGAAGAAGAAATAGACAAAGTTCCCATGTTCGGTAATTTATTCGGATTTCTAATTCTATTGCAACAAAGTAATTTTTTTGTTTGTTGAAAGATCTCCTTAAATTCGGTTTAAGAATGATTTTCGTTTGGTTGTTTTGTTTATGATTGAATGAATGAATAGATAGAAAGTTTTTTTTTCTTCAGAAAATTTCAATTTACTGTTTGTTTTTTTGGTTGTTCGGATCATCAATGAATAAATTCAAGTTTTTTTTTGGTTGCCCCAAACAAAAAAAAAAAAATTTGTTGTTGACATTTAAATGGCCAGTTGTGTGTGTGTAAACAGTGACGATGATTTTTTGAAATGGGCAAACAAACAAACAAACCAAAAATTTGATGATCATTTTTTCTTCGAAAAAAAAAATTTTTGAATTTCGAGTTTTATCGAGAAACAATTCAGAAAACGAAAACGAAAAAAAAAATTCCCGACAATTCTGGTTTGGTTTTGACATTCAATTATGGAATCAAAGAACTTCATTAGAATTTATTTTAATTGAAATGATTCGGTGAATCAACAACAATTCCTAGGAATTCTTGTTGATTCTTGTTGTTGTTCTCATTATCAGTTTGGTTTATGGATGATGCCAGAAATTACGTCATTCAAACAACAACAACAAACCCGAAAACCAAAAAACAAAGATTTCATCAATCGATTAACCATCGATTATTGATAAATTTTTTTTTAATTAATCATTTCTTAATTAATTACCTTTTTCCATTTATTAATTATGTTATTTTTAGTTTTGTAAATGACAAAAGTAGTGAGACCGAACCTCAATCAATCAATCAATCTCAGTGTTACCATTATCTGGAAGCCGAAACAAACAAAAAAACCAAAACAACATTGACATTGAAAACAAAACAAAACTACGACCATTGAAAATTCTATTGGAAAAAAAATGTTTTTGGTTGTTTTGTTTTCGGGAAAAAAAACAAATTCAACAACAACAACAACAACAACATCTCTATAAAGAATTGTACGTGTTTGATTTTTGATTGATAAATTTCAAACCAAAACAACAACAAAAAAAAAATATATAACAAACGAATGTAATGATGATGACAATGAAAGATTGGAGATATGGATAGAGAGAGAGAGA